ATAGAAACAAATACATTTTTATAAAATCAGAATTAATTGTATTTTTATGAAAAAATTAAATCAGAATTACTTGTGAAAATACATTTTTAACACTGTGTTTAATAAAATCAGAATTTATTGTATTTTTCGAACAGAAGAAAAATCAGAATTTTTTAATCAGAATTTTCAGAATTTTTAAAAATCAGAATTTTTTAATAAAAATGCATTTTTAATCTTCGTAAAATAAAATCAGAATTTATTGTATTTTACGAACAAAAATCAGAATTTAGTGTATTTTTAAAGAAAACACATTTTTAAAAATCAGAATTTCCTCCTTACTATAAAAGTATGTAGGTACATTATTAAATTCTGTAATATAAAATCAGAATTTATTTGTATTTTTACAAACAAAAGAAAACCAGAATTTTATTTTTAATTAAAACACATTTTTAATTTATTTATAATAAAATCAGAATTTTCCTTAAATTCTATAAAAGATTTTCAAAGGGTAATAAAGAGTAATGTTGTCGTGACAAGCTTGAACAACATGGGCCGTGGGAAATATAAAATACTTAAAAAAAAGAAGTGTCAAGAAATTTCCCATTTTTGGCATATGAAGAGCATAAAAATTATTTATAAAAAAATGTGGGCAGTCATGAATAAATTATTATTTTTTTTTGCTAAAAAAGAATTTAACTTGGAAAAAAAAATATTTTTTTATCCTTAATTTCAGAAATTTGAGACGAAAAAAATTGGAGAGATGCAGAAAATTGAGCTGCTTTGGTTAACAGAGATGCTGACTTGTTTTTGTATCTTTATAGTGTCTGAGAAATTTTAATTTGTCTATAGGGGACAAAAAGTGACCTCTTTTAGCCTAGCAATAACTGCCAGGAGGTCGCAGGATCGAAGCCTGTCCGGGATTAAACTTTTACCTCGCTCTTACTCAATCGAACCTTGCCAGCATTGCTCTCGGGCAGAAAAATAAAGCATGCGAGTCGGACTATATTTGTAGGAAAAAAATTAAGAATGTCAAAAAGGATATCTAAACATTTAAGTAATGTATATCTCCAACTCGTAGTTGGAGATATATATCTCCAACTCGGGCATTTTTGGAGCATTCTACCAGACCTGGTCATGGATACGGATATGGATACAAATAATATAAATATGCCTGCGGATATCCGTCTGTATCCGCCGTAAATATCCGGATATGGATACCAAAATCAGTATCCGTCACCCTGCATTCTACTCCTTTTATACTTCAAATTCCCTAAAGTTATCAAATGATTGGGATTAAAAAATAAAATTGTCGGATCCGGATATCCGGATCCGAAAAAGGCCGGATATCCGGAAATTTTCGGTTCGGATATCGGATCCGGATCCGGATATCCGAAAATTTCGGTTCGGATCCTAGAATTTGGAAAAAAGGATGAAATCTTGCCCATTGGTCTTCCAAAATTCCCAAAATTTTCGCCTGCGGCGCTAATAATGGGAGAAAGCAGGCTTTTTGGCCTTCCAAAATTCCCAAAATTTTCGCTTGCGGCGCTGAAAATTGAAGAAATCTAGCTTAAGGACTTCCAAAATTAACAAAATTTTTGCCTGCGGCGCTGAAAAAGTGAATTTTTTGGCCTACGGCCTTTTAAAATTCTCAAAAGTTTCGCCTGCGGCGCAGGAAATGGAAGAAATCTAGCTTAAGACCTCCAAAATTCACAAAATTTTCGCCTGCGGCGCTAAAAGAGAAAGAGTTGTAAACAATTGTAAAAACTCACATGCCCCTCTGAAGCTAACCCCCTGGATACGCTCTTGAAGGATTTTGGGATTAGAGGGGATATAGGGGATTAATCAATAAATCCCTCAATATCTCTCGTAATTCCCAACCCGTAGCCTTTAATCCACCAATTTTAAATGTAAGATAATACCCTATGTCTCTATTAATTCCCCAAATAACTCATTACTCACATCGATAACTCTGTTACTCCTAAATTCCCTCAATACCTCTGTTATTTCCCCAAATCCATTTATAATTTCCAACTATCCGACAACCTTATTAAAAAATACAAATACGTAATAAAGTTGTCAAATATATTTCAATCAAATCAGACGAATAAGAATGCCTGATTAAAGGGGAAATATCGAAATGCTGCCTAATTCCTGAGAAAAATAATTAGCTAAACTCAACCTTGACATGTTCTCAACTATTTTTCACCCTTTTTTCAAACTTTTCCAATCATTTCTCTGTTTTCCCTTGTTTTTTAGGAAAACATTCTCAAAAACAAGTTTTAATGTCAGTCTGTTTTTATTGACGTTAGTTCACATAACATTTTTAAAATATGACATTTTGGCCTTTCTTTGCTATTTTGTTGCCTTATTTATTGCTACTTGTTATCATCGATTCATCAGAGCGTCTGTCAAACGAGAAAAGAATTAGTACAAGTAAAGGGGAAAAACACGAGAAAAATGGGTGGAAATAAAAACAAACAAAATAGTAAACCCGCACTTTTTTATTATTGTTTTATTATTAAAAACGGTTTATTCTTTGTGTGTAAATACTAATGGTTTTTATTGTATTGGTTAAATACATATAATGGTTACACACACACATTTTTGCATTTTTTGTGTTCTTATTTTATTTTTTAATTTTGAAAATATTATATATTTTACTCCTTAAAATACACCTGTCCTCAAGATTGTGTTGGCCGCTGGGTGAGGGAGTGATATTCTATGCGATACTCCCTATATACACCTCAAAAGTAGGGTTGGACAAAGGGGGGTTGGACCCTAGTCTGACAAAAAAATTTTGGGTTTCGATTATTTGGGTAAAAACAACGGTATATAGGCATTTTACTTACACCTTAAAATACACATGTCCTTAAGATTGAGTTGGCCGCTAGATGGTGAGGGAATGTCTAAGCGATACCCTCTATTTTAGATAGACATCAAAAGTAGGGTTGAACAAAATCGGTTATTAGCCCCCGTTTTCGGGTTCGATTAATTGGCTTCGATTAATACAACGATTTTCGGTTCTAGTCAGCAGAGTTGCGTCGTAATCGAAAATTTTTTTTCGGAATCGTAATTCGTAACTCAAAAAACGCCGTAATTCATAATTACGACGCAACCCTGCTAGTCAGGGGTAAGCGCAGGAGGCAATCGTATAAAACGCAACGCAAGGCCAAAATTTAACGCAATGCTCTCACTTCTAGTTCGGTCACCTATTGTTTCACATAAGATACAATTTTTCAATCACAATGGTGAATCTTATAGTGAAGCTGACAGCCCGAAAACCACTTCTTACTTCAAGAAGGATTATACATATGTTGTCAAACAAATTGTTTTGAGCCAAAGTTTCAACTTTGGCTCATAGATTTAAATTGCTTCTTCCACCCCCTCAGAAAAGTTGGGATTAACGGGAGGATAAATAAGTGGGAGGTTTATTTTTATTTTTTTAATCCACTCTTGCCCAACCACTAAAAAATAACAAACAAACACCTTTTCACTTTATTTTTTCTCCCTTTTTTTCAATCCCCTCTTTCGTTAGTTACCCCGACCCATGCACTCTTAAATATAAGGTTGTTTTTGTCTGGCCCCTATATTGAGACACCAAAGTCCTCTCTGTAAGGGGAAGCCCTCACTTTCCTTCCCCTTTTCTTTCACCACAAGACTGACTGGTTGTTGTTTACGCCAATTCTCTTTTCTATTTTTTGAGCGCATCCGTCTGACCGAACTGATGCTTTCACAATTTTTTGTGTTGTTTTTCTTACCCCCCTTCCTCTCTCTTTTTTGCTTGTTTAAGCATTTGGTTGTTATTTGCTTGTCTCTTTCTTTCACTTTCATTGCCCCATTATAGTATTATTTCTTTTTTGCTTTTTCAAAACATCCACGGGATTTTGTTATTTTTAAAAATAAAAATTTCGAAAAACAATTTTTTTAAATATACATTTCATCATATCGATTATTGAGAAAGTTGGGCATTTTGAAAAGTTGAGATTTTGAAAGTTGACACTTTGACATTTTCCTTTAAAGATTCCGCGTTTTCAGAGCGTTTTAAATTTTTCACAAAGCGATTTCCTCTTAAGCCTCCTAAAGACTTTCGAGCCTTTCAACCCTTCTCTTAAGATGGCGAGAATGACACAAAAACAAACAACGACAGACGAAGAAGCAAAACAAATACAAAATTTGCACATTGAAGCAAAAACTGAAGGGAAAAGGAGTGCTCCTAGTGGACGATTGAATGGTAACTAGAGAATATTTTTTGAACATATTTTCCCTCTTTTAAGCTGAAAAAGTCGGAATTGCTTTGGAAAGTATTTTAAAAATTAAAGATAACAAATTGCCTTCTTCCACAACCGAAGATGATATCGAGAACGATTCATTTTCTTCTTCGTCGTCGTCATCTCCTTCGTCACTTTCCTCGCATTCGAGCACTTTAAAAGGTAATTTTTTATAGTCAAATTATTTTGTTTTGTTCAACGAATTGAGTTGTGACGAGGGTATCACGACTTTTGCGCCGAGAACATTTGCGCCGCGACTTATGCGCCGCGACTTTTGCGCCGGGCGACTTTTGCGCCGCGACTCTTGCGCCGCGACTTTTGCGCCGGGCGACTTATGCGCCGCGACATTTGCGCCGCCATTGTTTAGAAAATCCGGATCCGAAAAATGCCGGATATCCGAAATTTTCAGTTTGGATATCAGATCCGAAGATTTCCAACTATTCGAAAACCCTACTAAAGTGAGGTCCGGCTGTAGTTATTGATATATTTTTAATGATAGTGGCGGCGCAAAAGTCCCCCGGCGCAAAATTCGCGGCGCAAAAGTCCCCCGGCGCAAAAGTCGCTCGGCGCATAAGTCGCGGCGCAAAAGTCGCGGCGCATAAGTCGCGGCGCAAATGTTCTCGGCGCAAAAGTCACGGAACCGTGACGAGCATTGAGAAGGGGGAAGGGAGGGTTGGCTGAAATGTTGGAGATCGGAATTTGTGGGGGAACGGTGACACAGGATAGAAATACAACAACAAGTTCAGGACGGGCTTGGAAAGCCTGGGCGGGAAATTATTTTTGAAGTGGGATGAAGTCTGCATTTCCTATAACGATGTTCCCTATTCCAGTTTCTTTCCAGAAAGCGGAGATAGTGTTTTAAAGTAGGGGGCGACCTTTCGGGGCCTAACCCCCGTTCACGGGGAACGGGGGAATTAGGGTTCCTGGAACAGGGACTGGAGTCCCCCGCAAGCCTCTTCTCTGGGAAGCCATCTCTGCGTGGACGGGGGTAAGATCCTTTTTTAAAACATCAAAATAAAATTCACGTATACTTTCCCCGTTTGACAAACATCTATCTTCCCGTATAGTTTTTCTGTTTTTCCCTTCCAACCTTTCTATAAAAATTGTTTTTCACAAAAAAATTTTTTTTCTATATTTTCGTCACACCTCCATTTCATCGAACAACCAACCCTTCTTTTACATAGGTTTTCTTGTGTACTAGTAATAAACAAACATCTCTACTAGTTTTCTTCTCCCAGACAAAAAATAATAAATAAATTTAAAAAAGGTGGAAGTAGCAGTGATGACAACAATAAAAGAAAAACAAAAACAACAACAGATGGGGGGTTAGAAGGAAGCAGTCATCACCTCCCCCATCACAATTATAGTGAACATCACACTGACCGTTTAAACACAAATTTGGTTGTTGTAGGTCAGCAGGGCCCGGCACTGCCGCCTTCAATGAAAAAAGTCTTTTTGGAAGAAAATGGTCTTTTTTTGTTGTTGAGAAAAAAAAATATTTTTTTGAAAATATTTAAAAAAATTTCGAAAAAAAAAATTTTTCCCAAAATTTTTGAAATTTTTTTGAAATTCCCAAGAATTTTATTTTTTAAAAAAATTTTGAAAATTTCAAAAATTTACATATTTTTTAGAAATGAATAAAATAACAACAAATTCAATGTCCGATCAAACACGTACAATAACCAGTCGAACACCCAAAGATTTTTTCTTTATTAATGTTTTGGGTGAAGGAAGTTTTTCTACGGTAAAAAATTTTTTTAATTATTTTTAAAGGGTGTTTTTGGAAAGAACTTAAAATAATCTCACCTTTCCATTTCTTTCCTTCTTTTTTTGTTTTCTGACAAATCATCAAAAAATATTAATTTTTGGCGGTATACATATAAAATTTGTTCGAAGCCTTTTGGACTTTAGGGGGAAACAATAGGGTGTTCCCCATTCCCCTCCCCCCTCGTGACGGAATTCCCCGTCATCCCCCCGTAGCTTCCATAAATATAAAAGTCGTACAACTCGTAGAATAACTACCCAAAATTACTCTCTTTTGATTAATTTAATCGTTAGAGGCAAAATAGGGGAAATTTTTTGATAATTTTTAAAAAATCCGATTAAAAATCATCCTTTTTTGTTTTAAAAATCCCAAAAAATTTTACTACTTTTTAAAGGTTTATTATTCAAAAGAAGTAGATACGGGGGATGAATATGCAATAAAAGTTTTGCTCAAAAGTGAAATTCGTCGTGAGGGACGTGCTCGTTATGTGCTTAGAGAAAAGGATATAATGGCTTTGTTGACTTATTTTTATGGTCCTTTTTTTAATTTTTTAAAAATTTCTTAGGTAGAATTGAATTACGTACCCTCACTTTTTTTCTTTTGTAAAAAATTACCAGACTTTCCTTGCTCAACTTTACTCTGTCTCCTATGGATACACAGCAAAATAAAATGACTCCGACTAGGGCTGTCGGATAGTTGGAAATCCTCGGATATCTGATATCTGAGCCGAAAATTTCTGATATCAGGCCTTTTCGGATCCGTATCCGGCAACCCTAATTCGGACTACCGTATATGCTCGAATAATTATCCAGGGTAATTATTCAAGAGGATGGGCTAAATTTTGGGGTATATCTCAATAATTCGAAGAGGAAATCCATTTATTTTTTGATATTGATTCTTATAATGTTTCAATAATTAAAATTGGCAATGATTTTTTCAATATTTTTAATCTTAGAGAATGAAAAGGAGGGGTAATTATTGAAGAGAGCAATTATTTGAGAGAGGGTAATTATTCGAGCACTTACTGTATGTTTAATATTTTAAGGAAGGAAGAGGGAAGGAGGGAGGATGCGAAATTCAATTTTATCTATTTTTTAATAAAAATTAATTTTTTAAAGGTGGACATCCCTTCATTATTCGTCTTTATTGTACATTCCAAGACAATGACCGCCTTTGTTAGTCTTCTAAAAATTTTCTTAATAAAAATTTTTTTTAAAGATTTTGCTCTAGCCTATGCAAAACACGGAGAATTATTAGATTGGTTAAGACGTTTAGGCTCTTTTGACGAAGAGGCAACTCTATTTTACGCTTCAGAAATTCTCTGTGCTCTAGAATTTTTGCATAAATGCAAAATTATTCACAGAGATTTAAAACCCGAAAATATTTTGGTTGGGAAAGATTGGCATATTATGCTGTCTGATTTTGGAACTTCCAAAATAATTAATTCTGAACAGACAAATAAAGGTATTTAAATTTAATTTGTGAAAATATTATTCCTTTAAATGAAAGTATTTATGAAGCTTCCAAAAGTATTCCTCGCTTTTCCTTGAACAATTTAAAATTTTAGTTATTCCATTTTTTACTCTTATCGATAGTTTAGTCTTGTGTTTTTGTTGTTAAATTGACTAAATCTTTTGATGAAGTAGAGGAGAATTTAGAGAGGAATTTTGGAAAAAAGGAAAGATAAAGCTAACTTTTACCTCGGGCAGAAATTCCGAAATTTGCTGAGAAAATTGAACTCAGAAAAATACATAGTGTACTTTTTGTCAGGTATGTGACCGAAATTGAAAAAAATGTAATTTTCAAAATCCGTAAGATATAGGTGATCCTAATTATTCTATATTTTCTCTTATATGTAGGCTTCTTAACCCCCCCCCCCCCACTATAACTTTAAAATATTTTCGAATCCTTACATTCATTTTTCAATTAAAATTCTAGAACAATTACCCCAACAAATTTTGGATGATGTAACAACAACCTTACCCCCACCACCAACTTCCTCCCCCAACAAAAATAGTGGAGGTGTCAGAAGTTCTTTTGTCGGTACAGCACATTATATAAGTCCGGAAGTTCTCAAATCTGAAGATGTTGGGTCTGAGTGTGATTATTGGGCATTGGGGGCTATTATCTTTCAAATGATTTCTGGACAGCCGTAAATTTATTTTTTGGCATTTTTGAATGAAGTCGGACGACTCTATATAAGATACACCCAGTACTAAATACTAGGGTTGTTCCCCGTCCCCGAAAGTCGGGGAATTTAAGATATTTTTTGAAAATTCTCCCCCCCTCTTTCTTGGCGCTGCCTCACCGAAAAATTTTCCCCGTGCCTCCCCCCCCCTTTCGTTTGGGAACCCTACTATAACCCTACTATACATTATTATTTAAGAAATTTTTTAACATTGGGTTTGCTTCTGGATGATAAGACCGTGTATTCAGTCCGGCCTTTTTTCAGACCCGGCAACCTTATTGTGTAAGGCTACCTTAGAAAAAATTTAAAAATAAATCCTCTATTTGATATACCCCTCATTATAAGAGACAATTTTCCAGCCCAAGGGAGTATCTTATAACAATGTCTGACTGCATTATCTAGATTTTAAAATTGATTTAAAAATTTTTATTGAAATTTTTAAAGGCCTTTTCGAGCAGTAAATGAATACAAAATTTTGAAGAAAATTCTTGGATTAGATTTTCACTTCCCAGAAGGTTTCCCTTCTATTGCAAAACAATTAGTTAGTGGATTACTTGTTTATAAACCAAGTGAACGTCTTGGAAGTGCTGCTAATGGAGGAATAGAGGCACTAAAAAGACACGAATTTTTTAAGGTTAAATGAAAATTTTTTTTGGAAATCTTCAAAAAATTTTTTGAAAATTTTAAAAAATTTTCAAAATTTCATAAAAATTCAAAAAATTTTCAAAAATTTTATTTTTCAAAAAATTTCAGAATGTCAATTGGGAAAATATTTTTACAAGAAAACCGCCAGAATTAAAACCTTATTTGCCTGCTAGTTGTGGAGAACCAGCATTTTATAGTGATTATAACCCTTTATCTGGAAATATTGAGCCTGGATTGAATGAAGCAGCGCTTTATAGATTAATGGGGTTGGGGCCTTCTGTTGGAGGCGGGGGTGGTGGATGTACTTCACTTAGAGGATTTATGGATTTTGATTGTATTGAAGGTGCTTAAAATTTTACTTTTTAATAATAAAAGTGGGAACACTTCTTCTCTTTCCCCGTCCTCGTTTGCCCACACTAAGTGGGGAAGGAGTACTCGAAACACGAACATTTTCGACATAACCCCCCAATCCGAAGATGAAACCCCGACCGATTTTTTTCTTGACCCACCCTGATCCACCTTCATGATCCACACTTTTTCATCCCCTCCTCCCCTCAGATTTTGGTACCCATCTTTCCCCGTCCTTGTTGATAAACAATTCCTCTCTGAATCAAGAATGAAAAAATGGCAATGTCTCGCGTTTCAAACAACACGCAAAAGTCAGCCTTTCAACTGAGCAGCTTGACATAATATAATTTTTAAAATAGCCAAAAGCAGCACATTGAAAAGCTGATTTTATGGTGGAAAAAATTGGACAATTTTTAAGAATTTTTAAATAAAAAATTTTGTTAAAAATAATTTTTAAAAATATTTTTTGAGGACTTTGGAGGTATTAAAAAATAAAATTAAGAAAAATTCTGTTGGATTTTCGTTTTTTAATTTTTTTTCGTCAAAATATAATATTTCTGCAAACTTTCCATTAATTTTATATCAAAAAATATTTTTGTTTATTTTCAAAAAAATTTTTTTTCTTAATTTTTCGCATTTTGTAACAAGTCTCTATAAATTTATTTTTTAAATCTCTCTTAATTCTCTTCCTGTATTTGTTTATTTTCTGCTGATTTTTTGAGGTTCAACACATTAATAGGAGGGGATGTTTGGACATTTTTTTGTAATTTATTGGCCTATTTTTTAATAGAAAATTGAGAGGGAAAGTGTGTATTGCTTTTAAGTTTTGTTTATACTCCCCCCACCTCCCCCCTCACCAATTTATTTATATTTAAAAAAAATTTTTGTGGAGAGAATAATTTTGAGAGAGGATTCATTTTCTTAATTCATTCATTTAATCCAAAAATCCAAAAAAAAATTTTTCAAAAAAATTTCTTCAAAAAAATTTAAAAATTCTTAGAAATTGTCTGTCCCAATCTCTACCATAAAATCAGTCCTTCTTTGTGCTGCTTGGCTTTTTTAAAAATTTTATGTCCAAGCTGCCCAATTGAATGACTGATTTTGAGGTGTTTTTGAAACTCGAGACATTGCTATTTTTATTTATTAAGATTTGATTTTTTCCTGGATTCAGAGTTAAAAGGGAGAGAAGGTTTTCTTTAAATTACAGCCAAACCTCTTTATAAGATTTAGTATTGTAGGGTTGAAAATTAATTTTTATAAGGTACCTAAACATTCTAACAAAGCCTTGTACTTCTATTTTTCGGAAAAATTTTCTTGTTTATCTATTTTTTTCAGAATTTTTTTTTCAGAAAAAAATGTCTTTCAGAATCAGAAACAACGGTATCAGGGTTTTAAAAAACCGTTATAATACCGCTCGATATCGGTCGGGATCAGGGGGTGATACGCTCACCCCTGGTCGGGATCCGGATACAGCCAACTCCAATTTTTCAATGGGGCTTCTAGTAGGATTGGGCTTCTGTTTTTGAAAGATTAGACAAAAAAATTAACTAAAGTAAAACGTATACGGTATCTTTTATAAGGAGACAGCTCCCCCTATTCATTGCTCAAAAATTATTTCATAAATCGAAATTCCCTAGTATCTCATAATGAAGTTTTACTGTTAATTTTCTAATTCTGAGGGTATCTTATAGACAAGTCCAACAGTTTTTAGGAAAATAAATTTTTTTCACAGATTTTTTACCCTCAACATGCTCAATCCCTCCAAGCGCCTCCGCCTCTTCTTCCTGTTCTTCTTTTAGCTCAACCCCAACAACTTCCTCTTTCCAAACTTCAACAGATTTAAACGACACAACAAATTTATTATTATTTTCGAATTTAACAGAAGAAGAAAGGGAAAGGAGGAGAAAATGTCAACTTGAACGTCAAAAACAAGAACATAAATATCACCAATTTGTCCAAAATAATTTAATATTAAAATGTGGATTAATTGATAAAAAGAAGGGACTTTTTGCTAGAAGAAGAATGTTTCTTCTTACAGAGGGCCCCCATTTATTTTATGTTGATCCAGTTTCAATGCATTTAAAGGGGGAAGTCCCTTTTTCGGCTCAAATGAGGACTGAAGCGAAGAATTTTAGAACTTTTTTTGTTCATACGGTCAGAAAGATTTTTTATAGAATACAGATAGACCTGGTTATAAGATGTATTGTGACTGAAAATAGTATCTTAGAGGTGTATCTTAAATAGAGAGGGTATTGTTTGGGTAGTAAGATTGTCGGATCCGGTTCCGACAAAAGACTGGGTATCCGAAAATTTTCGGTTCGGATCCCAAATCAGGATATCCGAAACAGGATTCCCAACTATCCGACAACCTTATAGGGTAGCTCTCCCACACAGTGACCAACAAAAATATACAGAACCTATATCAAATAGAGGTGTATTTTTGATTAGTCACTGTGTGGGAAAGCTACCCAATAAGGTTGTGGGATACTTGGAATCTTCGGATATCTGGATCCGGGGTCCGAACCGAAAATTTCCGTATCCAGTATTGGGGCTTATCTTATACAAGGGTCTATCTGTATAAACTTTTTGATTTGAATTCTTTTATATCTTCAATAATAAAAATATTTTTTAGCCAAAAAGGACATATTATCTATTCGATCCAGAACGGCATGCAAAGGATTGGTGTGATGCTATTGACTGGGCTCGTGAACAACACTTCTCTTCTTTAAACAAATCAAAAGACAAAGTTTCAACAAAAACAATTGGACAAACTTGTGACAATCAAGGGGGAGGAAATATTCAAAATATCAGCAGCGTTACTAAACTTTTTTCTGGAAGAACCAAAAGCCCTTCTTCGGGTGTTGAATAAAGGAGAAGGAGAAATGTTTAAAAGAAATTTGACAAAAAATTATTAAAAATTATTAATTACTCTTTAGGGTAGTTAAAGGCCAAGTAATTTTTGAAGGATGGAAGTAAAGTATTTGAATAATCCATTTTATTGTATATATAAATGTAAATAGACAAATAAATATTTTGAATATTTTTTCTGACCTCTTTCGACTGGCTCGTAATTAGAGACCGGACCGAGACGAGATCTCGATTCTCTTACAGCACTCCCAGTCCGGTCCCTACTCGTAATGGTCAATTTTCCATAGTATCTGATATGTATCTGTTCATTGTGGCCGTAAGGAAAAAATGGTGCAAAAAGTATCTACTTTTTTTCATTTTAGTTCCGATTTCTATCACAAATTTTGCTCTAAGGCATAAAGTTCCAAGTTCTGCATTTTAGAACCAGTGGTCTGATAACTCGGTGAGTTCAAAAATTGGGAAAAAATTGAAAAGATTGGAAGATGTTATCACTCCGTTTTTCCTTTTAATGTAGGCACTCACAAAGGAGACCAAATTTCACCCGAAGTCCCACGGACACCCAAAACACTCTCCTTTGTAGAGTCAGTAATAGGGTTGGCATATCCTGGGAGATTCTCAGATATCCAAATCCAGAACCGAGATTCGAACGGAAATTTAAGTATTAGGCTCCAAAAAGAAAAAGGTAATGAAGACTGTCTGTTACAAAGAGTGCTTTCGGGACAATTTTCAAGGAGTCAATGCCACTGTAGTTTATAAGAAGCCGGATTCGGAATAGCCAGATTCTCTACTATCGGCCGAGATATAGGGTTCGAAATGGTCGAATCCATACATGGGGGGGGGGGGGGGGGATTTTTTCCAGTTTTTTCCAATTCCGGTCTTTTAGTTTTGGAGGCAATTGAGCCATGAACATAGCTTTATAATAAATAAGACGAGCCATAGTATATGAGTCATAAGAGGCAATCGAGCCATTATAGGACATCTCAAGGCATGCGACTGCCTTTTTTAATTTACTATAAAAATATGTAGGTATATTATTGAATATCATAAGGTAAAGTATCTACTTAAATAAGCACTTTGAAGCTCTACCTTAAGACATGCCTCCCATGAGCGTTAATGCGTCCCAAAAGAGATATATGTCTAATCATAATACAGTGCCGCATAAAAGTATAAACGCACTAGAAAATATCCTGTAGCTCGGGATTAAGGTGTCCATGTTTTATAAAACTTTTTATGCCGTAAATGCTCTATTACTTACCTACACTAATTATAAAAATATTTATTAAAATTTAAAAGGATTTGAATAGGATATCGAGGGATTTGTGTGGATTAAGGTTGATATCGAGGGATTAAGGATATGGGTAAAGTTGATAAGAGATTAGGAAGTTTTGGGTGAAATATTTAGACATTTTTCTAATATAAGCCTTAATTCTTCTGTATTTTCTCAACTCATCTGATTCTCAATCTGGAACATCTCCGAATCAGTTGATATTCCAGATTTCCCTCCAATTTCTCCAGATCCGTCTTAATCTCTGTAGACCCTCCGATATCCTTCTAGCTACCTATAACCTCTTGATCCCTCGATACCATACCAAAATCCCTTAACATTCCATAAAAATTTTAATCATAGATTTTTTCACCCGCAGGCTGAAAATTCTGAGAAGTTTTAAGGTCAATACTTTTCTCACCTCTTTCTGAAATAAATGGAGGTCGGGTTTTGGAAAAGAAAATTTCTCGGATCGGGTATTCTCGGACCGACCCACCCAACACAACCCATCCCTATTGCGAGCGTCTATTTAAAAATGCCATTCCCATATGCAAACTCTCCACCCATTTATTCTCCATAAAAACGAGGGGATTTCTTCATTTCCCTATAAAATTTTTTCATTTTTCTATTTTTAAAAAGCTTCCCCTTAGTAAAAAAATTTTTCTCAAAATTTATTCAAAAAATTCTAAACAAAATCCTTTAAAAAATGTATTTTAATACATTTTCCAAGACATTTATTGTCTTGGTTTTTGTTGGGATTGCTCCTCTAATTGTCAGTGCAATGCATAATTTTCCTCGTAAATTTTTACATTTCTATCAGAAGGCAAAGAATTGCTTTAAATAATTTTTAAAATTTAGTAACTATGCAAACTGGTGGAGGCGAATCGAATATTAATCTGAATGTGTTTTCTCTCTCCGAGTTGTCCTTTCTGATAAATATTTTAGATAAAATTAAAGAAGGAGATTACAAAGATTATGGTTCTGTTGAAGATATGCTTAATGCGAGAGGAGCTGAAGTATTAAGCGAACATGATGAAATTGAACCTCCATTCGTTTTCAATTTTAAACTAAAAATAAGAGCGGTAAGGAAGGGAGGATGATAGTGATAAAGATTGAAGGCAGTGTAGTTATGGTTCGCAAATATCCGGAGTCGACTATAGCCGAAGCTATAAAATGCCAAATAAACAGTAGAGTTTCACCGGAAGTTCCGGTTCCAGTTCCGGGCCGGAACTTAGAAAAGTTCCGGTTCCGGGAACCGGAACTTAAGTTGGATCCGGTTCCGGTCAAAATTTCGGTTCCGGTGAAACACTAATAAACAGCCTTGATTTAAAGGCGTCGGACATGAAACCAGGCATTTTGATAAAATCTAGTTTATTCAGTTTCTAGGTCCTATTCTCAAGCTTATTCATCGCCACTAACGGCGGAAATGCAAAGTCTTTTCCTTATAGCGCTAAAGTATGAGAACTTAATAATAACAAAAGAAAAAAGGTTAAGTCCGAAGAAATAAGGGTACAAAGATTAAAAAGGCGAAGAAATTATTCACGTGAAATTAAGTGAATAAAAATAATTAAATTTATCAAAATGTCGAACTTCGGCAATTCTGACTTTCTGGCCAAAAAAAAATTTTTTGAGAATTTTGTAAGCCCAAGACTTGCTCAAAAATTTTAGCCTGCGTGCTAATAAGCTAAATTTATTGCATCTTAGGTGACTTATTTAAACTTAATCTCAGCGATATACTTAACAAGGGTGTACCGGAAGTCATTTCAAAAACTGAACGGCGTGAGACGAAAATCCAAAAAAGGCGAAAATCGGCGAAAGGCTAAACTCGCACACCCCTGATACTAAGAGTTCGAACTCTAGTTTCTCCAATAAAAATTATGTTGATCAAAATGGAAGCATTCAGTAAGTAGTTATTGAAAACGACCCTCAAATTTTCGATTTTTCCATCTAAAATAAGAAAATTTAAGCAGAAACCGTAAAGAATTTAGTCCGAATTTTAGTCTCAACAGACTCCTTTGCGAACTCTTTTATAATTTCTCGTTAATTAATTAATTTATTCATTAGCTTCCGCTGAATTCCATCATTTTAAACTCCCGCCAAAAATACTCTTCCATTGAAGTGAAAATTTTACTCATTTTTTCAAAAAGTTCCAGGTCCCATTATTGCCCATTTCCTTATCCCCAAATATAACAATTCTAATTTACAGTTGATAAAACATTTTGAAGGAATTCTTAACAATTATGAAAGACAAATAAAAGGAAACTATAGAAATTTTGATATATTAGATAAGCTTAATTTTATTAATAGAAGAATTAAAGAGTATAAACAAACTGTTGATGAAGAGAAATATGTTCAATTAATTGAAAAACACGGTTTAGATATAAATGAGTTTGGTGATGAACGAGATCTGAACAATATCCCTGTTTCATTATGGAATATTGGGTAGTTTATACTATTCGTGTCACGACACTTGCAGATATGACATTTGCAGATCAGGGGCCGTATTATAAAAACGAGGTAAGGGTTAACCAACCCTCAGCTGCGGGTAGGTTAACCCACAACCCTTATTAAAAAATGCGGGTAGGGGTAACCCGCAGCTGTGGGTTAGTTACTCGGGTAATAGAACCCGCAGCTGCGGGTAAGAATGCAACCCTCATCCGATGAGGGTTAAAATCTTACCCTCATCTCTTTTAAAATTTTTTAAAAATCCAAACTCAATCGAAAAATTACAAATTTAATATTTTTAGATAGATTAGAGTGTGCTCGATTTTTTGACATAATTTTTAAAAATTTTCGTTATAAAATAAATTTAATATAAATTTTCGCGTAAAGTACCCCATTTTTGAGCGAAAAAGGGACTCATTCTCTCCAATAGGCATTTTTTTTTGTTTTTTCTTGATTATTTCAATCAAGCATCAATTAAATTTTGTAACTCTTAGTAAAGTTAAGCTAAAATTCTGATTTTTAATTATAGTATGTAAAACACTCCCCTCTATCTATTGGTATAAAAATTGGAGGGATTAAAGGGATATCGGTGGATTGAGGGGGATATTGGTGGATTTGGAGAATATTGGTGGATTTATTTTTATTTGATTGATAAAAATAAATTAATTTTAAATTATCTAATTTTAAATCGTCCAACTTTAAATTGTCTAATTTTGGGTGATATTATAAAAAGAGGGTTGTGGGTTAGTTTACCTGCAGCTGCAGATAATCATCGAGTTCTGGGTTGATTTTTTTGTAATAAGGGTTAACCCTCAGCTCGGGGTTCTATTACCCGAGTAAGAGAACCTGGTAAATTTACCAGGTTCTCCTACCCGCTTTTTATAATACGGCCCCAGATATTTGCAGATCCGACTTTTGCAGATTAGACCCATTTCGCTCTCTTCTTTACCTTACCTATGTACCTGGAGTGTTTGCTGCTGCGGATGTCGGGTCTGCAACTGTCATATCTGCAAGTGTCGTATGACCATACTATTGATATTAAATTAGCTCACAAACTTAAGTTGAGCTAATATTTAGTTGTGGTTAATAATAAGGGAGGGGAGGGTGGTAACTTTTTGGACCTGTATACATAGTAGATTTGGGAATTAAATAACTAAATACTTTACAATATCTAATCTTGAGCAACATTTAATAATTTTCATAAAATTTTTTAGCGAAAGTCAAGAACTTTGGGAAGATTTAACTGCAATTCTATATCAGGAGAGAAATTTATTTATTTTATACAATTTGTT